GAGCTGGTGTAGTTAGCCACCTTGAGGTTCCTGACGGTGAGGAAGAGGTGCAGCCCTTCGAGGAACATCCAGGTGAAGGCGGCCAGGTAGAGGTAGTGCAGCAGCCCTGCAATGACAGAGCAGAGCCCCTGGAGGGGGAGAGAAGAGTGAGGGGCGTGCAGCAGGTGCGATCTGTACCTGAGTGTAGCCTCAGCTCTTAGCATTTCCTGGATGCTGCCTGGAATTTCCCTTTGAGCACCTGGGCCATTTTGCTAGGGGGCAACCCATTTTCTGGGGACTTCTGCTGGCCACTGAAGTCTGCTTATCTCATGCATGGAGCAAGCCAGAAAGTCAAGGAGTAGCTGTCCTGGGAACAGCTCCCTAAATGCATAACAGACAACACTTGGTAGGTAAATACTCTATTGCCTAAGCCCTTCAGGTGGACAAGTTCTAAGACATGTGCTCTATGCTGCCCCCTGGAGCTCCTCAGTGGGATTACGTCCCAGTTGCCCTCAGTGGAAATTTCCTTTAAAACACTTCTTAACAAAATGTGGTATATGTATACCATGGAATACGACTCATCCACGAAGAAGGATGACTTAATGCCTTTTGCAACAATTTGGTTGGAACTGGAGACCATTGTCCCAAGGGAAGTATCTAAAGCAGAGGTCCCCAACCTTTTTGGCACCAGGGGCCAGTTTCATGAAAGACAATCTTTCCACGGACCCAGGTCGTGGAAAGGCTTGTGCAGTGATGTGAGCGCTGGGGAGCGACTGTAAATACAGATAAAGCTTCACTCGCTCGCCCGCCGCTCACCTCCTGCTGTGCAGCCCCGTTCCTAACAGGCCACAGACCGGTGCTGGTCTGGCCCAGGGGTTGGGGAACCACAGATTTAAAGAACGGAAAAGCAAACACCACATGTACTCACTATTAAATTGGAAATAACTGACAAGCACACATGTGCATATAGGGAAGTAAATCTCAAAGGAAAAAATCAAGCAGTGGGGAAGAGGGTAGAGGGGTTGGGTGAAAACCTGCCTAACGGGTACAATGAACACCGACTCGAGCATTACAAAAGCGATCCATGTAACCAAAAACATATGTACCTCCATAACACTTTGAAATGAAAAAACACTTCTGTTTAATGACTGTTTTTACTTCTCTGTCGTTTTTCCCCCTCTCAGATCACAAATAAGCAACTTGCACTCACTTGCTGCGGGATCTGGTTGGGGAACAGAATGCTAATGAGCACATGGGAGAAAACATCCGCCATTCACTGGAGCTGCCTCAACACAAATAAATGCATTTTTAGGGCCATCTGATATCACTTTTCTTAGGTGAAAATACCAGGATCACATGCCATAAATGGAATAACTACACAAATAAATACTAAGAAATTAAATTTTTGACTGGTTTTTTTTTTTTGCTTTTGATCTATTATAGAAACATCTCAAGTACTACACATTTCTAAACTATCTAAGCCAACACACACATACACACACACACACACACACACACACACAATTATTTAATCAGAAAGGAAATGCTACCATCCAAGGTTAACTGGGTTCTGATGTTTCTTCCAAAGCAAAATGTTTTAAACTTAGCGACCCAAATACCTCTAGATCTTATTTAATGACTAAAGTATCTTTTTTCAGCTTTATTGATGTATGATTAACAAATTTAAAAATTGTATATATTGAAAGCGTACAATGTGGTGTTTTAACACACATAAACCTTCAGCAAAGGATTGCTACAATCAAGCTAATTAACATACCCACACTCATATAGTTAACACTTTTTTGTGTATGGTGGGAACACATAAGGTCTACTCTTTTAGCAAATTCTAAGTATACAAGACATTATTATTTCTAAATTTTATTTTCTATTAGGTACAATTGACAAAAATTCTATGTAGCTACCATGTATAATAGGATTTTATATATATGCATATGTATACACACACATTGTGGAATAATTATATCCAGCTAATTAACATATGCATCACCTCACATACTTATTTTTTATAATGAGAACATTTAAAATCTACTCTCTTCGCAATTTTTAAATAGGCCACACATTGGTATTAACTATACCCACCACGCTGCACGTTAGATATCTAGATCTCATCAAGAGTAACTTGTGATACAATCTACTAACTTGTACATTTCCAATGACCTCCTGTTGAAGTATGAACAGTATTCTATATTATATTGATGTTGGCAACTATCAGAAACACTTGTATTTTTTTTCCAGTTTGCCTTTACACTTCTGCAAGTGAAAACATTCTGAAAATATACGTCCTAGTGGGGTTTCATCGTCTTGGAAATTACAGAGGCTTAGGTTTTTTGCCCGATATAAAGAGAAAACCCAGTTTGGTTTATGTACACCAGAAGAGATTAAAAAGCTCGATTGACTACATCATTCTCTCTTTGTTACGGGCTGAAGTGTGTTCTTCCAAGTCCAAGGGCTGCAGTTCTAATCCTCAGCACCACATCGTGGGACTGTACTTGGAGACAGAGCCTTTAAAGAGGTGATTCAGGTAAAACGAGGTCATTGGGGTGGGCTTTGCTCCAACCTGACTCATGTCCACATAAGAAGAGGCGGTTAGGACACAGACACACACAGAGAGTCGACCGTGTGAAGGCACAGGGAGAAGACAGACGTCTACAAGCCAAGGAGGGAGACTCCAGAAGAAACTAACCCTGCAGACACCTAGGTCTCAGGCTTGCACCCTCCGAAACCGTGAGAAAATAAATTTCTGTTGTTTAAGTCACCCAGTCTGTGGTACTTGTCATGGCAGCCCTAGTAAATGAATATACTTTTCTAGAAGTTGTGCTTTATGATCTCTCACAATTCTCCAGACGCGTTCACAGATACAAAGTTCTCTATTCCACGTGGGTAACAAAACGTCCATAACTAGTCATGATAAAGTAATAGGAACTGCATTGACCCTCCCACCTTGAACAACGAAACGTTGAATACAATACATGAGATTGTGAGTTTGAGATATTGGACAGTAGGCAGTGCACACAGTGATTCCTAAAAGGAGGGACACAGGTGAGGTGACTCCCTGAAGCCTGCTGCTCACTTCCAAAGAGGGTTCCCAGGTCACAGCCCAGGAAGGAGAAACCCCCAAATAAGCCCCAGCAGTCTTGCTGAATTGAGGAAACAGGAATTCAGAGTTTCAGGAGACTGTGATGGGTTGAACTGCGTTTTCCTTCCCCAAATTCATACATCGAAGTGCTATCGCCCCATATCTCAGAATGCGACCTTGTTTGAAAAAAAAAAAGGCTTGTAGATGTAATTATTAATACTTAAGATAAGGTCACACTGCACTAGGGTTGGCCCCTCAGCTGACATTACTTGGGTCTTTATAGAAAAGGCAAACACACACACGAAAAAAGCATCACGTGAAGATAAGGCAGAGATGGTGGTGATGCTTCTGCAAGCCCAGGAATGGCAAAGATGGCCAGAAACCACCAGAAGCTGGAGGAGGGGCATGGAACAGGTTCTCCTGTGCAGCCCTGAGTAAGAACCAACCCTGTCAACACAAATTTTTTGACGTCTGGTCTGCAGAACTGTGAGACAATACGTTTCTGGTGGTTAAGCCACTGAGTTTATGGTACTTTGTTACGACAACTCTAGACAACCAATACAAGTTAGCTAGAATTTATGAGGCAAAATACCACAGAGTAGGGAGCTACAGAGGGTGTAGGAGAGAAGGGAAGGAGGAGATTGGCAGAGGGTTTCCCTTGAATCTTTGACTGAATCCTTATCGGTACCCGCTTGTAAGGAAACCAACCAAGACTAGGGAGAGGCCCCCAGAAAGGAGTGCCTTCCTCTCAGAAAAAAAAAGTGCTTTCATAACTTTCTAGCTGTGTGATTATACTGCTTTAGAGTTAAAAGGAGCCTTGGAGAAAATCTAGTTCCAATTCTTCCTGAATATTATGATGGCCATGATCTCCATAAAGGTAAAAGCTAGTATTGTTGTCTGAGCAATGAATCCACATTCTTCTATTTAAATATCTTTTATCTTTTTAAGTCTTTATTAGAGCCCTATGACAGGGACACTGTTTTAGAGAGGAAGTTTAAAAAGAGGAAGTCACGAGAGATCTATTGTAAAACACAGTGACTGTATTTAATAACAAGCTATTTTACACTTAAAAATTGCTAAGAGAGCATATTTTAAGTGTTCTCACCACAAAAATGAGGATGTGATATAAGGCATATGTTAATTAGAGAGATTTAGCCATTCCATAATGTACACATATTTCTAAACAACAGATTGTGCACAAAAATATATGTAATTATTATCGGTTAATTTTAAAAAATATATAACTGAATAAATAGAAGGGAAAGTCACTTCAACAAGGTCACACGCAAGTAGGATGAAGAGTTGAATTCAAGTGTAGATCAGTGTGGCAAAGCCACTGGCCACCAAAAATTCAAGTCCATCCCCAACTTGCAAATATAGAACATGTATTTGTTGCTGGGAAGTGGCTTCCCAGCTAGGGACTACATTTCCCAGCAGCCCTTGCTGTTAAGTGTGACCATGTGACTGAGTTCTAGCCAATAGAATGTGAGGGGAGGTGATCTCCACCACTTCCTGGTGCAGCCCATATAGACCTGCCCCATGGGACTCTGCCATGCTCTTTTACCCCTCCCAGTTGGATAAAATGGAGACGACCCCAGGGTGACCTTGGAAACTGTGTATGGACAGCATCAGTCAGTCTGAGAGAAGAAGATAGACACTCCTAAAACCTATTTGCTCACCCTCTACTGATGCATAAGGGAAAAAGTCACTGCTATTGTGCTGAGCCTCTGACATTTTGGAGTTGACTGTTATAACAGCTAGTGTTGCCCTAATACCATCAGACTGACTCTCAGTCACCTTGCTAATGGTCCCTCAGAAAGTACGGGTCTTGTTCACAGTTACACGGGAGGAAAGCTGACATGGGAACCCATGCTTTCCCCCCTGCATCATCGCACCTGATTAATGCCTCCCTCCTCACCTTTTCTCAGGAGAAGATAGCTGGATTAGATTAGGACAGTGTGATAATTTGGTTAATTGCATACCTCAGGCTCAGTTCTGTTGATGCCTGTGAGGAAAAGGAGGTGGGCCAGGAAGAGGCAGAGGGAGAGCTGCAGGTGGAGGGTGGTGCTGGTGTTCTGGATGGGCCGGCACAGAAGGAAGGTGAGGACGGCCAGGAAGAGGCACAGCAGGGAGAGGATGAGCCCCACGTGGGTGATCACGGTCAGCACAGGATCCTCCTGCAAGCCACCAAAGGAGGAATCTTTTATAGTTTCCAGCTACGCTGCTGTATTCCTGACGGAAAGACAGGTGGTCTTCTGAGTTCAGTCCCTGAACAAGTGACTTAACCTCTCTGAGACTTGGTGTTCCCATCTTCAACATGGGGGCAGTAATAGCATTCTCCACACAGGAGTGTTGAAAAATCCAAACAACTAGACCAGTGCTGTCTCCCCAGTGTCTGAGGGCTTTCCTTGTTAGCTCGAGCTCACTCCGCCCATGTCCATGGAAGTGTCAGAGAATCAACATCCCCTGGGTACAGCTCTCAATAAATGACTAAAGGGAGCTAGAGTATAAATACCCCTTTCCACTCAGTTAGAATGACTCTCAGATGTGAGTTCTACACGGATGTCCAGGGTCCCCAAGAATTCATAAGATCCATTGCCCACAGTGGTGACAGGCTTAATAATGCTCCCTGTGTTGGTTTCTGTCTTATTGCCATGTAATTTTCCCATTTCCCTACTGGCGTTTCCTGGAATCCCCTCTCAAGTAAGTGACTACCCCATGACTCTTTATCTTAGAGTCTTGTTCTATGAAATGCATAGGATGA